GCAGCTCCGAGTGGCGGAACAAATGAGGGCAGAAAGGAGGCCGGACCCACTATCTCTGGCGGCCGAATAGTGTGCAGACTCCCTACACATGTTCGCTTTTTAGAATGGCGAAATTATGGGTCGAGGAAATGACCGCGTGTCCAGGAAAACGATCGAGGCCTGGCACACGGGGCAACCGTTGTGTGGCGCGTCTAACAGCTTACCAGTCCTTCAGGATGCAGCTCACTGGAGAAAAGAGCAAACGTGAACGCAGCCGTAACGTGAATCCGAGAGCGTGCGAGCTGATAATAGAAACACACACGCAGCCGCACCAGAACCCCAAAGATCAATTATCCGCTCAGCCGGCTCATCCGCCCACCCTACAAATGCGAAACCGGATGGAAGTGTGAGCGCAAGCAGGATTTCGGGCCTGGGACAACAGCTTAGGCCGATTACAGCTGCACACGTGAGAACACTAGGCCCCGACGAGAGACTCCCTGACTGAATTTAATTCGCTTCAAGGGGCATGCGGATTGAGCATCACTCCCCGACCGCCTCCCCCCGCTTCCTCCGCATTGGTTTAGACCTTATTGACTATGCCAACCACCACCTATATATACCGTGAGGTGCGATATAAATCTTACCTCTGATGATAGAGACCTGTACGCTTTTGAAACGTCACGACAATACATGCATGGTTCCCGAGATCGTCTTATCCTCTCTGTTGTCTTTGTCGGTGCCACTCCATTATATGTCTGAAGTCGTTAAGCGACTAACTTCGATCACTCTAGAACGACTCTCATAGCACAACGGGACAAATACGTTTGCTAGTTAGATAGATCGGATAAGCAACCTACTTCCATCATATTCCCTATCGCAATCGACAAGAGAGCGCGCCCGTGATGCAATGGATGAGTGATAAACTCAATGATCAAAGATCCCGGGTTCGAATTCCGGGGGTTCCGAACCTCGAGATTGGGCATGACTGACTGGTAACGGCTAACAAGCCAGACCTGCCCATTCCATTCTCCCTTTGCTTTGTCAATTCTTTTCCACATAGATACGACTCATCACCTCCCAAAGAAGACGAAGTAGGAAAAAGGCTCTTTATCGGACCACTATATTAACCGACTTATCGGAATCATCCTAATTTCCACCATCGTAGTTATAAAGTATGTGTTCCTGCTTGCCAAGAATTGTTTTGTGTGGCCGTCTGTCTCGTACTGCAGGCATGCCTAATGGACGGGCTATCACCTGCTTGCTTTGTGCGTATTGGCTCTGGACGCCCTCGTGTGTCGCCCTGTGAACGCCTACTTGTGTCCCCTGTCGCCTGCATGGTCGTTGTTGTTGCCGTCAGGTGTCGTGTGCGCTTGGACGACTGCTATAGGACCTTTTCTAATACTAGGGTGGGCGGACCGGTTGTTACTGCACTTGCGGACCACGGTCGCCTGTTTGGGCTCGTCGGTGGGTAGGTGACTATTGTCGGTCGTGTGAGCTACGACTGGCTCTAACCCCCTGCGGCTGTGGTGACCGCTGTTGAGAAAAATTACAAATTACTCGCTTGCGCCGTCGGCCTCATAGAGACTGACCGGAGTCTTGTACGGAGGGCCTGGTAGGCCGGATTTAAATCAATATTTCTGTTGATTGTGCTCACCGAGGATAAACTTTCGAGCATCAGTCTGGCCATCTATTTGTTGGACCGGCCCATGACTTTGGCATCCCCGAAGGCGAAACTATGCTGCTCCCGTTTAATGTGGCCGTATACCAGTGACAGTTTGTCCTCGCGGTTGACTACACTTTGGTGTTCATGCAGTCTTGTGCAGACGCGTTTATCCGTTTCATCAGCATATCTTGCACTGCAGTTTTGTCGCGGTATGCTGAGGACCACTGCTGATTGTTCCGTTGCCGGTAGCGGGTGCGGGGTCTCATTATTTGCCATCGGATAGTCGAATCCGGTTTTGGTCCACCCCAACTCTAAAAGGCTCGAAGATTCGTGCTGTTTCCCCCGAAGCATCTTTCTTATAGGTATCGCGAGCCAAAACTTCGATTTGTCGTCGTTTGGTCGCTCCAGGGTAGGCTCTCGTCGACACTCACGTAGGAAGGACCATAGACAATCATTGGTTGTGAACAAGCAATACAGGTATTTGGCCTCCTGCTTATTCCCGTCGTCATCGCTAAAGTGTGTTTGATCAGAGTTCTAAAATAGCTGTTTTTGTGACCGATTGGGTGGTTAATTTGGAATTGGAGGATGTGTTTGGTATTTGCGGCCTTGTGGTATACCGAAGTTTTTATCCTCTCCTCAGAATTCCTCATAACTTGTACACCAAGGAAGGGTAATTTGTTGTTGTTTTCCTCTTCCATCCTAAATTGAATGTCGGGGAATATGAAATCTAATAAAGTCTTACACTTTTGAACATCATCCCTTTTGCTTACGATAAATGTGTCGTCAACGTATCTGGCCCAGAATTTTGGACAGTACGAGCGGAAGACTAGTCGCTCAAACCTTGGCAGGACCCCCTCTACAATTTACCCAGACAAGTGGAAGTACATTGGGGTTCCCTTCTTTCGCTCGTAACCTGGACGTTGAGGGTGAAGAAAGTCCTGAAGCACTATTACATGAGTTCGGTGACGTGTTGTTGTTTAAGTTGTTGGTAATCGTTCTCATACTTTTCATCAAAAGGTTCGTAAAAAGTGCTCACCACAAGGCCAGTTGTAATGGAGGTGAATAGTGACAGCAAGTCTAACAATACCACCATCTCGTCTGAATCTTTTTTTAGATGCCTTATGTTTCTCAGAAGCTGTTCAGCCGACTTCACGGTTTCACTTCACCCTGTCCTACAAGTCACCATGCAGCCGCCTGCGAGGGCTTTTTAGGGAGTCCCAGAGCCCAACGGGACATGACATGTTCCTAAACCAGATCTGTGAGCCCCCTACAATTAATCATAGTTCTGATCGCAACCAACAAAGTAACGAGCTCATGGCGCAGTGGTTAGAACGATGGACTTCTAACTAGCAAGGCCGTGGGTTCAAGCTTTGGGAGGCATTACCCTTGGGTTTGGGTATATCTGGCAAATGATGGCTACCAGGCCAGAAATGGCCATTAGAATCTCCCTCCTCTTTATCGGTTATGTATTCCTGCCTGTTATATCCCAGCCGTTAAGCGGCTGCTGGTGGAACTCGAGAGCGAGTGTCAGGGCACAACGAACAGATCCGTACAGATCGGTGAGCGTCCACCTACCATTATATATGC